GTACATACCTGGAAAAATTAACATTAAAAAATTAATGAGGAAAAAACAAGTCTACTTAGTTTAATAACATTGACTAAACTGATACTTCAACTCATTCTTCTAATTTGGCCTAGAACATAAAAAAAAATTAATAGGTCCAGTTTTTTCTCATAATAATTATGAATGTTCTCTTACTTTTACTCTTGTTTCCTGTCTAATGTTCTGGGAATGAAATGTTATTACATAGCCATTTATTTAAGCAAAAAAAAAAAATGAAATTCTCATGTTCAAATTTGCCCCATTAGGAACTGGTTTGATTAAAGTCAGGGAGAACCTGAAAAATACCACTGAGGAAAATGTTGCTGACCTGAACTACTAAAATGGAAAGTCTAATGTAAAAACACCCACAGATATCAAACTGTCATAGATTCCCAGAGAAAAACCTCCTCTCTGCCCCACAGCTAGCTTCTCAAGATTAAAGGAGTAATAAATAACTAATCTTATGTCTGTGGGTAACCTCAGTCAACCTCAGAAGTCAGACGGCTCAGGCCAACTTAGATAACTGTGTGATAGTCAATGTATCTATTAAGTTTACTCCATTTTTTTCCATTACCGTATCTCCTCTTCTAAATGTTATTTTTATCTTTACTTGCTGTCGGTAGTCTCACAACTGTTCTCCCTCACATAGGAAAACAATTTGTGTGTAGATACTAAAGGCCTTGAGTTTTTCTTTGACATTACAGGGTTATGGGTAATTATTGATGGCCTGGATTTTTAGAAAAAGAGTTTTATAATAGAGGTGATCTTTTAACCAAGAGTAAAATGAAGAACCTTTGGCTTAGCAATATAAACTAATATGACTGAATGTCAACAATCATAAAGAGAAGGTAGCTATTTAGTCACAGATACTATGAGGAAATGTAGAAAGTCAGAGTTATGATGGCACTGTGCAAATGAGCAAAACTGAAGGAACGAGAGGGTTTGAAAAATCTGTCATGTATTTATCTGTTAGCTTGGGAACTTCTAGACACTCCAGTTCTGTGTTTGTTTTCCCCTTTTAAATTTCCAATAGCCATAATGTTCTCTGTATTTTGGTGTTGTTGTTGTTGTTGAAGTTCTGTCAGTGCTGCCTAGAAGAGGAGAAAGCAAGTGTTGGCATCAATCCTGTTTGGCTATGTTAGCCATTCTAATAAGTGTATAGTGATAGCTCATTGTCTGAGTTTTCATTTCCCTGGTGGCTAACTATGCTGATGATATTTTGATATTCTTACTATCCATCTGTCTGTTTTCTTTGGTAAAAATTCATTTATGCCTTTTGACCATTTTCTAATTGGATTGCTTATTTTATTAATGTTGACTTTTGAGGGCTCTTTATATATCATGGGTACAATTTCTTTATCAGATACGTAATCTGAAAATATTTTCTCTGAGTGTGTAATGTCCCTTTTCATCCTCTTAACTAAATATTTTGCCTAGAAAAATTTTATTTTTGGTGGTGCAATTATCAACTTTTCCTTTAATAGATGAATTAGTATCAAGTCTAAGAACCCTTTGCTTTGTCCTAAATCATGAAGATTTTTGTCCCATGTTTTGCTATAAAATTTTATAGTTTTGCATTTAACATTTAAGTGTTTGATCTATTTTGCAATATTTTTCTTTAAGATGTAAGTTTTAAGATAAAGTTAATTTTATTTACCTATGGGTGTTCAATTGTTCTTTTTTTTATAATTGCTATTTCTTTGCTGAGATTTTCTATGTTTTCACTTGTTTCAGGAGAATCTATAATTGCTTATTGAAGAACGTTTTCACAATGCTTTAAAACCCTGGTTAGATAATTTCAACATATTATTCTTCTCAATATTGGCATCAGTTTACTTTCATTTCTCTTTCAAGTTATAATTGACTTTTTCTTGGTATGAGGGATTTTAGATATGTAAAGGGCATTTGTTTGGCTACAGACATTACTCAGAAAATGCCTAGGGGAATCTTTTGAATTTTATTTCACTTTATTTCATCTCATTTTGCTAAGAACATTTAATGCATTATCTATCCTCTTAACAAATTTTTAAACATATGATTTATTATGGTTGACTACTGGTACGATGTAATACAACAGATCTGCAGAGCTTATTGATGCTACTTACCCAAAACTTTATGACAGCTGATTAGCAACTCTTCATTCCCCAACCCCCTGCAACCCTTAGCAATCCCCATTCCACTCTTTAATTCTATGAATTAAACTATTTTAAATACCTCGTATAAGTGGAATTACACAGTTTTTGTCTGCAGGTGACTGGCTTATTTCATTCAGCATAGTGTCTTCAAGGTTCATCCATGGTGTTACACAATGCAGATTTTTTTTCTTTGTTAAAGCTGAACAATATTCCATTGTGTGTATATACCACATTGTTTTTATCCATTCATCTGTTGGTAGGCATTTTGGTTGTTTCCATATCTTGGCTATTGTGAATAGTACTATAATGAACATGGGAGTTTTGCTATCTCTTTGAGATTCTGATTTCAATTCTTTGAGATAAATACCCCAAATTGCTAAGACTGATGTTGAAGTGTTTGCTGCCTATGTTTTCTTTTAGAGAAGTTTTATGGTTTCAGGTCTTACATTTAAGTCCTTAATCCATTTTGTATTTATTTTTGTAGATGATTTAAGAGAAGTGGTCTAGTTTCATTTTTTTGCATGTATCTGCCCAGTTTTCCCAGTACCATTTATTGAAGATACTATCTTTTCCCCCTTGTGCATTCTTCCCTCTTTTGTCATAGATTAATTGACCATATAGGTGTTTGTTTATTTCTAGCCTCTCTATTGTGTTCCATTGATCTATCTGTGTATTTTTATGCCAGTATCATGCTATTTTGATTACCACAGATTTGTAGTATAATTTGAAATCAAGGAGCATGATACCTCCAGCTTTGTTCTTCTTTCTCAAGGTTGCTTTGGCTATTCAGGGTCTTTTTTGGTTTCATATAAGTTTTAGGTTTATTTGTTCTAGTTCTATGGAAAATGTCATGGGTCTTTTGATAGGGACTGCATTAAATCTGTAGATTGTTTTAGATAGTATGGACATTTTGATGATATTACTTTTTCCAACCCATAAACACAGTATATCCAGCCATTATGTCTTTGAAAAGCTTTCTGGTCATCTCTCTCCCTTCTCCTTCTGGGACTTTCATCATGTATATATTGGTCTTCTTTTTGGCATCCTCACTTTTTTCATTCTTTTTCTTTCCTTTGACTGAATGGTTAGCAACAACGCGTCTTCAAGTCCACTGATTCTTTCTTGTGCTTGATCTAGTGTGATGCCCTTCTTGGACTACCTGATGTCATTGGACTGTGTTCAGATTTTGAGGTGGGAGGAGCAGAAGTCTGCAGGCTTGCGTCTCCTTATGTCATTTGGTGGAGGTGTGGGAAATATCAGGCTTTATGTATGGTATTGCTATGTCTAATATAGGCTCTCAATTCCCTGCCCTACTTATTTAGCTGAGGTTGGGTTAGATTTTTGAGATTTTGCTGCTGCCTCTGAAGGCAGATCAGTTAGTTACCTAGATATTGGATGAGGGTTAGGCTGGCCTGCCAGGGCTGTTACATTGCCAATGTAGGTAAATTAAACAGCCCATCAGTACACAGATTGTGGAGTATGTTTCGAGTTGGCCTATAAATCTTTGAAGTTACCACTCTGAGTGAATCAGCACACCTTACTAGTTCTTGTTTTCCTTTTTCTGTCATTTGGTCAGAGAGAGCAAATTATTCTTGAGGTTTTTTTTCATCTATGCCTTCTGGTGGTTCTGTGTTAAAGATTTTTCTAGCACCCAGTTTGGGATATACATTTGAGAGATTAAGAGAAAACCCAGGAAAGTCACCCTATTGCCATTCCTCAAGTATAGAGGACTCTAGCCAGCATGTCTTTTACTTTTTAGCTTTCAGAGGTTTTTCTTTCCCCCATTGAATTATTTTGCTGTATTTAGAGGGGTAAAGCAGGGAAAACTAAATCTATACCACCTTGTTCCTGAAACTAAATTGGCCACACATGTTGAATAATGTTCTTCATTAAAAATATAATCAAGTGTAAACATTTTTTGAGTAACACTCCAAGGAACAATAAAAATCCATTATTTACTATGTAAAGATATATTTACCATTATTTGCTCTATAAATAATTAATCTAGGCATTATAGGAGATACTAACATTTGTGAAGGATACAAATAATCCTCTTGAATACTTCCAGTCTGACAAGTCTAATGAGAAGAGCAATGAAGAAAAAAGAAACCTAAATAAACATTTCATTCGAGGGAGATATATGGTAAATACCATAAAAGAGATCAAGAAATATATATATTATATGTATATACATAATATAATATATATAATATATGTATAATATATATGGTATATTATCGAGTAATTTATCAATTGAGGTTGAAAAAGGGTATTATTACTTATACCAATTAAATGTGTGTAAATTGGGACAATTCTAGCAATCTGAGATATAACCTTACCCTTAAGACCCTTTTGTTTTAACTAGTTATTGCAAAAAAAAAAAAAAAAGGTTCATACATGCATATATTTAGAGAATATTATAATTAATCCTTATTTGCAAATCATCCAGGTTCAATAACTATAAATCTATGGCCAGTTTTCATTCTTCTATACACTTCCAACACCCCTCTGCCCTATCAATATTTAAAAGCAAATTCTAGGCAGTTTCTTGAGTCATTTCTTGATCAAAACATTAATCACTTGTATTGCAAGCCTTTTTTTGTCTCCCCACCAGCCCTCTCATAACCACCTCATCCACATGTTGCTTTTTGTTTTACTTATAGGGCTAATGCTCTAATGGTTCAACTTTGGCAGAAGACAAATACTAAATGATTAGCCCTGCACACTGACCAGCTCAAAATAAGGAGTAGGATCATCTGTGACTCCCAGCCCTGCCTGCCTTCTTCTCTGGATTAATGATTCCATAATGGTGACTTCATAATGACTACGATTGAAGCTGTGTTTTACATGAGGATCATGCTTCTGCTACACTGGCTTGGGGTGTGTCTGTCCTTTTCTGGGCACACACGGGCTGAGCACTCCCAATATCACAGTCCTCCAGAAGTGGTGATTCCCTTGAAGGTAACAAACACTGGCCTCAAAACGAAGCTTCCAGGCTGGCTCTCTTATGGTCTGCATTTTGGGGGTGAGAGACATGTTATCCACATAAAAGTCAAGAAGCATTTGCTGTCCAGACACCTGCCAGTGTTCACCTACTCAGACCAGGGTGCTCTCCTTGAGGACCAGCCTTTTGTTCAGGATGACTGCTACTATCATGGTTATGTGGAGGGGGACCCAGAATCCCTGGTTGCCCTCAGTACCTGTTCTGGGGGCTTTAAAGGAATAATACAGACAAATGACATTGTTTATGAAATTAAGCCCATGATTTTTTCTACCAAATTTGCACATCTAGTATATAAAATGGACACCAAAGAGACTCAATTTCCAACCACGAAATCTGGCTTTATACAAGAGGAAATTGTACATCAATTTGAGTTTCAAGAGATTGGTAATTCTACTCTGAAGCAAAGTTCTTATGAGGATTGGTGGGTCCATCGGTTCTTTATTGAAATGGCAGTGGTGATTGACCATACCCTCTATCTTCATTATGAAAAAAATATCTCAAGGTTGCAGGAAGATCTATATGTTATTGTAAATATAGTGGACTCCATTTATGAAGTAATGGATCTTAAGTTATTATTGTTTGGTATGGAGGTGTGGACTCAAACAAACTACATTGAAGTAGATGATGCAAAGAGATCTCTGAGACAGTTTTGCCTTTGGAAGGCTAACAACCTTATTTCCCGCCTGCCACATGATACTGCACACCTTTTTATGCACAAGACAATAAGAGGATTAAGTGGTTTAGGTTTGGTTGGAGGACTGTGTAAATCAGAGTATAGTTGTGCAATTGTTACTTTTGTAAACAAATCCTTGACCATTATTGGAATTGCAGTAGCTCATCATGTGGGCCATAATTTGGGTATATCTCATGATAGACTATTTTGTACATGTGGCAAATTTAAATGTATAATGCATCATGATAATCCACCAATAACTAAATTTAGCAATTGTAGTTATTCCCAGTTTTGGGGGTATTCTATAGTTAGGGCAACATGTTTGCGCTACACTATACATGCAAAGGACATATTTACACGGAAGCGCTGTGGGAATGGTGTCGTTGAAGAAGATGAGGAATGTGACTGTGGACCTTTACAGCATTGTGCAAAAGATGCCTGTTGTCTGTCAAACTGCACTCTGAGTTTTGGGTCTCATTGTGCTTTTGGGCTTTGTTGCGAGGACTGCAAGTTCTTACCATCAGGGCAAGTGTGTAGAAAGGAGGTCAATGAATGTGATCTTCCAGAGTGGTGCAATGGAACATCCCATAAGTGCCCAGATGATGTGTATGTGGAAGATGGAATTCCCTGTAATGTGAGTGCCTACTGCTATGAAAAGAGATGTAATGACCGCACTTCACAGTGTAGGCAGATTTTTGGCCAAGAGGCAAAGAATGCAAAACACAGTTGTTACAAACAAATAAACACTTTAGGGGACCGTTTTGGTAACTGTGGTACCCAAAACTTTTCATATTTAAAATGTAATATCTCAGATATCTTGTGTGGGAGGGTTCAGTGTGAGAACGTGGCTGAAATTCCCCTTCTGAGAGATCATTCTACTGTTCATTGGACTTACTACGATGGCATCAACTGCTGGGGTACTGACTACCACATTGGGATGACTATACCTGATATGGGTGAAGTGAAAGATGGCACAGAGTGCGGTGCAGAACATCTCTGCATCCACAAGAAGTGTGTCCATATATCTCACTTGGATAGTAATTGTTCACCTACGTTCTGTAACAGAAGGGGAATTTGCAACAATAAACATCACTGTCATTGCAACTATATGTGGGACCCTCCCAACTGCCTAATAAAAGGCCATGGAGGTAGTGTTGACAGTGGTCCACCCCCTAGGAGACAGAAGATAAAGAAGATTTACCTGTTACTATTTTCACTTCTTTGGTTGTTAATTTTATTATGTTGTCTTTTCTTTCTTTGTATGAAAAAAAGAAAAAAGAAAAAAGAGCAAGAAGTGCAGCCTCAACCTCAAATGAAAATGGTTCCGACACAACAATCAAAAGAAAAACAAAATATTCCAATTCAACAAGAGAAACCCTCACAAAATATTCCGATTCAACAAGAGAAACCCTCACAAAATATTCCGATTCAACAAG